GGACTGGCAGCTGAGTTTCACTGTGGCCTTTCTGAAAGGAGGCTTGCCCTACATGCCAGCACCTTGTCTTCTACGGGGTCGAGATGCTGCTGCTAGTGGTGACAGACATCTACGGAGCTGTAAGGACACCCAGAATGGCAGCAGCAGAGAAGGCTGTGGCCAGACCAGGCGTGTCTGCATCCACAGCAGATTACTTTAAAAGAAAAGGAGGTGGGAGAAGGAGCTATGAAGCCAGCGCGGGAGGGTGGGCAGCTGAGGGTGGTAAAAGTGCAACTGGGGCTCTGTGTTGGCTAAAGGCCGCCTGGCACCTGAAATACGAATGTGCGACCCTTTAGGTACTTTTGACGGTATCAGCGTGGGGCACAGACACGCAGGCTTGATGAGACCTTGCACTGAGTCCCCTTCCTGATTCTGAAGGGGCTGTCCCTTCCCCGGGCAGGGTCTTGCATGCATACACATGCGTACGTATGTGTACATATATGCCTGTCTCCCTATGTGGAGGAGCAGCGTCGGGATCCCTGAGCGAGCGGTGCAGCTCAGTGGAAGGAACTGCCTGCACTTCCCGCCTGAGGCGAAAGGATTTCTAAAAACTAATTCCCCAAAATGAGTGCCAAAAAGCTAATGAGCTTTGCTTCCCCACCCCCCCTGCCAAGACATCCCCCCCTTCTCGGGTGCTCACGTGGCAGCCAGGCTCACCGCAGCTCTGCTCCTCCGCACGTGGCCTTCCCCTGTGAGGTGCCATTTGCCAGAAAACTAGGTGCCAGGCAGGGAGAAAACATGAGAAAGACTCTTGGGATACCAGAAGTTGTGCTGCCCTGGGCAGGAAGGACACCTAGAGCTGCCTTTGTGCATTTCCCTGCTCCGGAAACGCTCTGGGAGCCTGGGCAGAGCCAGCTTTGGGAGCTCTCCAAACAAGCCTTGGCAGGAGGCAGAGCCCAGGAGGTTCCAAGAGCAGCAATAAACCAAGGCGTTTAAAGCAGGATGGGGAAATCCAAGGACAGTGATTGCTGGGCCTCTGCCAGGGTCCGTGGGAGATGGTTGGGTGGGACAGCAAGGAAGATACACGCTCCTCTGGCTGCTTCCTTCTCAAAACAAAGACGGTGGCTGCAAGGACCTTGGCTGTCCCTCGGCCATCCTTTCCCAGGGTCACTCACCTTTCCTGGGAACGACGTGGCTCCCGGCAGGAGCAGGGATCCTGCAGCATCATGGCCCAAGAGGTCAGAGCCTGATGGACGGATACAGGAGTCAGCTCAGCCTGGGGAAGGCACGTGGGCTGAAAGAAAACAACCAATCCTCTGAGAAGCCTGGGCAGTTTGGCTGCTGCTGATCCTCAAAAGCCAAGATATGAATGGTCTCGAACAGAAGATCCAGCCTGCCGAGAGCTTCTTTTGAAACATTGCTTCTGTATCGAATCCCCACTACAGCTCCCAGGGGCAGCGTCCAGCCGTGTTGCAGTTATCCTCAAGCCGTTTGGCTGAGGAAAACTGAGGCCATCTCACTCCCTTGGAAGCAGGGCTTTCCCTCTGTGCCTCAGCTTTGCTGGGGTACAGACAGGGGAGCGTGCCTTGGTATTCAATTAAAGAAACTATGCAGCTTTTCATCCTTCCCAACCATCCGCCTGGAGGGCCTCAGCACTACTGAAAGCCCACAGCTAAGGCAGGCAGAGGAAATCCACAGAGAACAAGGGAAATACACCAAAGAGCACCTCCAGCGCTGAGTATTTTTCCGGTTTCAAGCGAGCCAAATCTACTCTGGCATCTGGGTTTAGAGATTTCCATCCCAGCCCTGGGTAAATGTCAGTTTTGGGAGGATTAATCCAGATGGTAACGAATAACCCTATTTCCTGGGACTTTCTGCTAAGTCTGTGCCTCCCGAGGCTCTCAGGAAAAAGTAGGAGTTTTCTGAGGTGCTGCCATCCGTAAGCTAAACTGAAGAGAGGAGCACCCACTGAAATGGGCAGTCTCAGGAGCTGCCAGGGCCAGGACTGTTGCAGTGGGGAAGGAGCCAGCTGGAGCTGTCATCTCGTCTGATCCCTGCTCTCATCCTTGCTGCACCTGGATCTGCTTTCAGGAAACACCACCCCTGCCCCAGGGGCACCAGGACCTGCTGCTCCTGCCTGGAGGGGGAACTGCAGAGAAGAGGGAGGGGACAATCCAGCTGGGAAGGGAGAGAGGTTATTGGGAATGGATGGGCCCGGTCCTGTCCCCTCCCATCCTGGGGAGAAAGGGGCGAGGCTGGATGAGACATGGCGCAGAGCTCCTGAGCAGCGCCCACGGCTTTCCAGGAAGCCCCTAGAGCTAGCTGTCCACAGGACCTCTGCCCAGAGCCACCCCATAGGCACCCAACCGAGTCTGTTCAGCACCTTCCTCCGCCCCACACCTAATGGCTGTCTGCTCCAGCCAGTGCTCCTGCAGCCATTCCTCCTCCACTTCCCTCCCACCAGTCACTCCCATCCAGGCCTCTTTTACTATTTAGGACATCGCTTTCTGCCCAATGTTTTTCCCCCCAAGTGCCCTACAGCATGTCCTCCCCTGTGCCCTCCACCCCAGACAGTGACCAACACGCCTCTGCAGGTTACAGGTCCTGCAGGGCAGGAACTCTCTGCTGCTCTCCTTGCACAGGGCATGATGCAACACGGCCCTGTTCTAGGTTGCAACGGCTGCAGCAAGCACAATTAAAAGTGATGACAGCATTTGCATCACTTACTGTCACTGCCCAGAAATGTTTCCCTATAGCGTGGGCAGACAGACTCAGTCACAGAATTGCTTAGGAATCCCATCTGCAGCTTGCACTCTTTGCAAGGCAAACTCCCTCTGCCAGGCTGCGGTGTGGTGGCATTAAAGGTCTTTAGTACGAAGCCTTCCTCCCACCTCTCAGGGGTCTCTGCTCCTGCTCCTCTCAGTCCTCCATCGGACCTGGATCCTTCCTGGCTGATCTGGGGCTCTCCCCATTGTCTTTTATCTGCTGAAGTTCCTACGAGGATCTGAATACTGACATCATCACTCCCTTCCCTGCCTCTTCAAAATACAAGTTTATTTTCTTCAAAGAAGAAACACCAGTGAGGAGGGGTTTACAGCTGAGGCTCAAACCTGAAAGGAAAACACTGTTGTTTTTTTCCTCATGCTTTGTCTGCCTTGCAATTTGGCAGTTTTGGTCCCCACTGTACTGGAAAAGCTGCCCTCGCTCTTGCCAGCATGGCCTCAATAATCTTTGGAGGGTAAAACTAATGCCTCTCACATTGCATGTACTCAACAGATGCACCTTAAGAGTGCACCGGTCTCCTCATTCCCTCTGCACTACGAGCTTGTATTCAGACCTCTCCTCCTGTGACCAGAAGGACGTGAGTCCTCGTGTCTGTATCCAGGCACACTGGGGAGATGTGTAGCAAGTCTCCTCTCCTCAGGTCTCGCTGGATGTGACCTTCTGGTCACTCTACCAGTTTAAACAGCAGTAGCAGGGTGCCTCCATGGGACTCCCTTGTCTTTGCTGCATCTCCAGTTTTGGCTTCATCAAGAATCCGGATTAATCTGCATCATGACGGATTTGAAAAATAAAGAAAACAGTTTTATTAAGAAATGTTTTCACACTGACCTCTTCCCCCAGGTGCGATCTTCACCACACAGCATCCTTGTCAGGGGGAATCTGCACAGACACTTCTCACGGCCCAAGCTGCATGTGACTGGGTGGGTAGGGCTGAGGGCATTTTCCCTGGCAGGGGGCACCGCTGGCAGGAAAAAGAACTGGCTGACCCAGTTGAACGGAGCAGCCTACTCAGCGGAACAACCTCTAGATGAAGGTGATGACAAGACCTGATTACTGGAGGTTTCAAAACACAGGTTACCCAAACACCTGAAACTGTGTGTTAATGCAGAGCGTGTAGATTCTTGGTGCTTGCGGTAAAGGGAAAAAAAACCTTAAATACACTTAAAGTTCACAAGAACTCCGCGTCTGATGAAGAACTGCAGAATCTGTTAACACTCACATAGGCAATCTTCCACTCAGCAAGAAGAGCAGTAGATTATACTTAAGGATGGGAGAAAGTGAAAGCGATCCAATGCTTGCAGTCCTCCCTTTGCTTCCCTCCTTACAGCAGGGAAGCCTGAAACCAAGATGAAAAGCCTTTGCGGGCTATTTGAAAAATGCAAACATACACTGTATCAGGAGAGGGTTTAAAGTGCACACTTTTATTTTCTATTACAAAGGCTAAAAGAAGCAAGTTTGTTTTTTTTTTTATTTAAGAACAAAACCAAAAATGTTGTTAAAACATCTACATTATTATCCTGATACTAGACCTTATGAAAGATACTAAGTTCTTTTTTAATAGTAAAGCGTGGTATTCTTAAATTATATTAATACAAAGACATATTAAAGGACTCAAAATCATTACTACCCAGCTCAGAACTGCAGCATCCCCTTGCTATCTTTTCCTTTCACTTGCTAAAACCCATCCATTTTTGACATACAGTTTCATACAAGCTAAGTAGGGTATTTTTTGTTTTTTTACTTCCCCCTGTAAAGGCCAGGTTAACTCCACCACCAGCGTCACTTAAATCCCTGCCCCTGCCAAAGGATTTGGGAAAAGATTTCCACTAAGTCCTTCAGCATTTAACAAGTTGATCTGAATCAAAGTCTCTCCTCTGTGTGAGCATGTGTGTTCGATTATTTTACAGGATATGATATTTTCTTCTAATGTTGTAAAATTAAAGCATCACTTCTTCTGTTAATAACCCTCGGATTTGGTGCTGCGCTGCAAAATTTTCTCTCTCCCTCACATGAATGAAGAAAAGAGAGCGTTATCACAGGGTCCCGTGAATGCACCACTAAACAGCCCTACAACTCGTGGCTGATCTGTTGTAGAGCCGTGAGCACTGAGCAGTTCTGCTGAGAGTACATAACGTGCGGAAGAAAACCCTCTTGGCTTGATAAAGCGAGCCTGGGAAGTCAAGCGTGAAGCTTCCTGCCTTTCACAATGTCTCTTTAAATAATATAAGCAAAGCCTTATACTCTTTCACTGAGATGGGACTGCGAGGACTTCCTAGGGGGTTTCAAAAATGTGAACAGGGAAACCTGTCCCATCTCAAAATTTATACCTATCTATATAAAACCCTCCCCTCTCTGTTATTTCCCTTTCCCTAACCCAAATAAAAGTCTTCATATTTAAACCGGAGATGCTGCGTTTCCTGGCCCGAGTCCTTTTCCTTTACCCTCATTTAAAAGATTCCTTCGATACCACACACATATAGTATTATATAGAGCGATATATTTAATACCTGTGTATATATGCTTCATGGGAGGGGTCACATATATACACACTAAAACAAGTCTGGTGACAAAGTACTGCAACACCACAGACCAGGTTATCATATCAGGGAAAACAAAAAGAGATACTTGACGCAAGCCCCGTGACCGTGGGCCTCCCTCACCTCAGGCACGCTCGCCCTCCCCCCGCCTCGGCCCCGCTCCGTCCCTCCGAAGCCCCGCTGAGCAGCTCGGCTCTCATCGCAGAGACGGGGAGAGGGGACAGCGACCCACTGTAACCTAAACAAGTTATCATATGAGAAATCACAGCGCAGCGAACGCTAGAGTCACACTAGAGATGCAGGTTTGTTTTAAAAATAAAAACCACATTCCGACGTTCCCCGATCCAGATTCACTTCCTTGGCGTCTCTGCCCAAGAAGAGCAGAAGAAGATAACCCAGGAGTTGATGCCTACCTCCTCCCCCGTCTCTCTCCGTTTATAAAGTTGACCACTTGAGCACAAGGAGCACCAGGAGAAGGAACAATCCGGGCAGCGACAGCAAAGGGCAGAGGAGAAAATACAGCACCTGGCCACTCAAGAACTGCCATGTCTGATACTGCGTTGGTCACTCTCTTTCCCCACAGCACTACGGATCCTTCCTCATCTCGTCCTCCTCCCCACATGTGGGCCGAGGTAGAAACAACCGCTTCCCTCCCCAGTTCTCCCAGACCTCTCATAAGCCATCTGCGTATCATCAGATGTTACGGTCCTGGCCTCCTCCAGGCCAGATCTCAAGGTGCTGTACAGCCAAGAAGGGAAGCTCATACCAAACCAGTGACCACCATCCCCATTTTAAAGGAGGGGAAGCAAGCTCAGAGGCACATTCAGCTTACTTGGAGCACATAATATCACTGGAAAGACCCAAGACCAGCATGCAGCGCACTCTGCTCCTGGGCCGTAACGACCCCAGTGGAGCTGACGCACCTGCCAGGAGGCTGGTTTAGAAAGATGCCAGCTGCCCCCCCGGCATCTCCTGCATTTCCACATCTCCTGCGTTTCCGCATCCCATCTCTCTTGAAGCTGGGAACACCAAGGATATGGGAGCAGGGAGGGAAAAGGGGGATCCAGCAATGCCAAAGCACCAAGCAGGTCCCGGCCAGATTGTATTTACCACGGATATAGTACTGCCAGCCCCATGGGCTCTGAGCTTGCTGTCCTGGGGGACTCTGTATGAAAAAGACATCCCCCACAAAGGCTGGGAAGGAGATGTGTTCGTGTTTGAGTAGACGCATGCATGCACGCAAACCTGTGGAGTGAAGCTGGATTGCAGAAGAGAGGAGGAGAGGGAAGCTCAGGACAGGACACACGTTTACTGCTTACAGGATGAGACCGCCAGAAAGGACAAGGCTGGCATACAGAGCGGTACTGCCTCTCACCGCTGCCACTATAAAAGCCAAAAATCCTGGCCCAGAGCTCAGCATCACTGGTTCCCCCATCATGGCGCTCATCAGGTGAGACAGGAGCAGGCTCACGGCTGGGTCCCACTGTGCCACTCACCCTCCACCGCAGTCCCTGCCCTGGGTCGCATCCTGCCTGCACTGTGCATCCGCAAGCTCCCTGCCCCGGCTCTGAGAAGGAGGGGGCTGGACCTCCAGTTCTGGTAAGTGCCCTTCCAGCTGGATTCCCATCAGCAAAGCATCGCCCATGCTGCTCGATGGTGTCCTTTTAAATGGATCCCCACCCAGTTCTTCTGGCAGTGCAGGGAAAAGCACAGCTCTAAATAACCAGTAACACGCGCCATTTAAAGAGCAAGATGGGAACCCCCTTACCTCCCTCCCTCTCTTCAGGACACAAGGCAACACAGAAACACAGGCTCCTTTTGGTTACAGCCTTCCTCCTGGCTGATACTGCTGCATGGACTACAGTGACGCAGGGTGTGTCACAGTCTCCACTACACCTTCTAGATGGCTTCGGTCTTACTTGCACCGGTCACACCAGCCAAAAAACCAAACCAAAACTACCCACCCTGAATACCTGTCGCACACTGAGAAAGACATCTAATGAGGAGTCACCAGTTTGCTTTCTGGGTACAGTCAGCTGAAACAGCCTGAAGTCACCCACAATCCAGTTCCTGCTGCTGCAAGCAGTTTTATTACTTTGCTGCTTTTAGCTACACCCTTTATACCAGATGGCTGTTACCCTCCTCGGCACCAGTTGATGTTTTAAGATGTTTTAAGCCGGATCTAGTGGTTTTCCTTCTTTTGCACCCCAGTTCCTAATTCTTCTGGTACTGAACTCCCAGGAGAGCAGGCCAGCTGCAGCAGCGTAAGCGGGGCTTGCTCTGCAGCACTGAGAAAAGGAGCACATGAACTTCATGGTCACCTTTTCACCAGATGTCTGGCCCTTTCTCTCAGCTTTGTCCTCCAGACCTCTGCAGCCACACTCCGAATTGAAGAGCAGGAGAATAACACAAGGAGAAATTCTCCGATTTGCAGCCAGTACTGGATTCATTCCTTTGAATGAAGGATAGTGAAAACAAGAAGATGGAGAGGAAGGAGAATTTGCGGTAAAGAAGAGAGAGAAGATGGATCACAAACTCAGTGAGCATGGTGTTCGCTGGCCAAGGAGAATCAAATTCACGATTTCATTCACCACTAATAAATCATCGTCTCATAATCTTAAAACGAAAGAAAAGAAAAAGTTCTCTTTGCGAGACACAGATCTCACTCTCCCTGCTACTGCCACTCTTGGAAAACCCGCCCCGTGTTTCTCCAGCCGACAGGCTCCCCTCCCAACCCTTACTATACGCCATCCCGCAATAGGAAGTTGTATTTCCCGAAGTCGTCATCCCTGGGGCAGAGCAGCATGTCCTTGCGGGCTTTGGCCAGTTTCTGTTTCAGCACCTCCCTCCGGTCTAGCCACTCCGTCAGCTCGTCCTGGCCGTGGGCATAGCGACACTCCTCTCCTTCGGGGCAGGCCTTGCTCTTCTGGAACCTGCCAGCACAAGGAGCACGATCAGGAGGGCACCCCCAGGACAAGGTTTTGAGCTCCCCATCTGGGATACTTGATTGGGGCCCACCGAAACATGCTGCAAACTCTCCTTTCTAAGGGCGAGGCGATTCTCCTACAAACCCACATGCAGCCGGGGAAGGCAACACGGAGGCTGGGCACAGAAACAGAGCAGCGAACAGAGCAAGGTCTATGAGGGGATTTAGTCAACAGAACGAAACGACGTGAGCTGGAACTGGACCAGCAGGGATGAGGAGAAACCACCACACAAGAGAGGAAATGCCAGGTAACAGCTGTGAGAGACAGCCTTCTCTCTAACCAAAACGGCATTTCTAACCATCACAAGTCTTCTGAAGACACTTCAAGGTGCTGATTCAGAGGGTGTGAGACATTCAAACCATTTAATAAAGCACCTGGGATTCCCCCAAGCATCAGGCCAAGCCTGGCAGCTGAGAGCACCCTGGCTATGGAGGGCACAGGTGCAGACATGAAGCTTGCTCTCATTTTCTAAAGACACGTGCTCAGAAATGTATTTTTACCACTCAGTAGTGTGGCTGAGCACCTCTGGGATCCAACAGCAGCCTCACCATCACCCAAACCTGTCAGCTTGTCCCACTCGTCCTCCAAGCAGAAGTCCCTGGGGACTCTGTGAGAGGAGGAGTAGGTGGTGGTGAAGGAGGGATGACGGAGGCCCTGGGCCTGTCGCCCTGTCCCTGCAGCAGCTGCACAGGAGGGAGATGAGGCAACGGTACCTTTCGCAGAGCCGGAACTCGCCCATGGGGAAGCGGTAGCTCCAGCAGCTGGAGTCACTGTCCGAGGTGAAGACCTTCTCCTTGTGCTTCTCCGACTGGATGTGCTGCTGCCATTGCTTCTTGCTGTTGCTGTTCTTCCCGCAGAGCCAGCAGTGGTAGCCCATCTAACCAGTGCAGACAGGGCAAAGGGCCAGTCAGTGCATTAACAGTCACACCCGTCGGCCTTCCCCATGCTGGCACTGCCTCTCCCCCTCTCCTTCCAGAGCATCCTGGAAGCTCTGCTCAGTCTACAACCTCCCACACTTCCCTGCCATGTCATCTTCAAGGCATCATGCTGCCACTAAGGGAGCGCAGAGGAGGTGCTTTGTTGAGGTCTACCTAGTCTACCTACAGCTCAAATGGGCTCAGAGAACAGGACAGCTCAGTTCACTGACACAGTCCCCCTGCCCCTGCTGACGGCCCAGATGGGGTCTGACTGCAAGGCCCCCAGGTGCACAGGCAATGCAGGACTCTTCAGGAGCGCAAACCCTTACACCAGCCACCACCCCTGGGCTAAGGAGGCACATCTGCCTCTAGTTTTCCCAGGCCTCTGCGCTCCAGACCCAGCTCTTCTCCAACCTTCTCCCTCTTTTCTGACAGGCCAGCAATGGCTTTGCCAGCTTTCCCAGGAGCACGCAGGAACCCTGGGGAGAGGCTGAGCCACACAGAAGGGAACCTAAGGTAGACTCCTACTGACTCGAGGATTAACAGAAAAGCCAGGCAGAGCCTTGCTGACCCCAGGTCAATCCCTTCCCGCCTCATCTGTGCTGCCCTTGCTGTGCTGCTCCAAGCTGTCCATTTAACCTACATGAGCACGGGCTCTTTCCCACAAGATCAATGTGGTCCCTGCTAGCTCACACCTGGAGCACAGGAGAGGGCAGGCTATCAGCACTGAGGAGGAGAAGGAGGGATGAAGGACAAGAGATCAGCCGATTACCATGATGTCAGCGTAGTCGGTGGGCATCTGGATCTGTTTCTCCCCTTCTCGCGAGGTGAGTGGTGTCCCCTCTCCAGGCTTCCCAGGATTGTGTTTCTTTAGCCACATGTCATAGGTCTGCTGCATATCTAGTACTGCACAAAGGCAACCCATGAAGTCACTCAGACAACGTCCCACACCTTGCACAAACTATGAGAAAAGGACGAATGCTGGGACAGCCCTTCCCTCCCCTTTCCTGCGCAGCAGCAGCTGCTGACAGACTGAAGGCCTGTGCTCGCAAGGCCTGATGTCACCTCCTCAGATGAAAGCCCTGGGGAGAGGAACCAAATTCACACCACCTGATGTGGGGAGGTGTCTTCTATGAGTTAAGGGGCAACTGTGACAGCAGCTATACAAAGCATTCAGGAAGGAGGGAAGGTGCCCCAAGATCTCCATGGACTTCACCCCAAGAGGTGATTCTCCATCAGGCCTGATTCTGCTTGACGTCAGCAGACATCTCACTCCAGCCACAGCAAAGGCAGGGGCTGGATTCAGATCTGTCCCTTCCCTCTAAGACTATGCTTCATCCTCAGCACTTGAGAGGGAGGAGAGCCCTCAAGCAAGCTGGCCACAGGAAGCACTGGGGAGGGGAGGCAGACCTAATGATAGCTTGCCCCAAGTTCAAAACCTGCCCAGAGGAGTGCAGTCAACGTCTCTTGGTGCTTTTGGTTTAAAACCCACTCAGGACACTAGTGGGAAGGGAAATCTTGGCTGTAAGCTTTGACTGCACATCCGCCTTTCCAAGATCAGCTCCTGAGAGAAGCTACGGAAACAGAAATGTTTGCAGACACTGATGCGATGCTGTAAGTGCAATGCGTTAGTGATTTACTCCTCACTAAATGGGTAATTGAGGAACTCAAGGCAATTGGGGATAAAGAATGCAACTTCCCCCAAACTGAAAGAACGCTGTCATTTGAAGATTCGCCTTCGTGCTTGAGCAAACACACCCAGACTGTTCTGATGTGCTTTAAAGGCCTCAGCAACAAAATGACTTGAACTGTAACAAATAAAAGCGTTTGGCCCAGCAGAGAGAAAGACCCTCCATCCAAGCACAAAGACCAAACAAACTCAGGGCAGGCCTGAAACCCTTCAAGCTTTCCAGCATCTCCCAACAGAGCTAGGTGAGCACCTGGACAACTGGGCCTTGCAAAGAGAGTCTTTTTTTCCCAGCTCACTGTTGGTCTGAATAAACAAGGATTGCTGCCAGAGAGGTGGCCGGGCCAGGACGTGGGCAACCCCCCAGCTATCCCCCAACAGCTAAGTTGGGAGCCTGCATAATTAATTCCAGACAAGCTCCTCCACAAAGGCACCACCCAACGATGTTCTCATTCAGGATCTCAAATCCACCCCTTTGAATACAATGCCATGAGCAGGGAGTGCCGCAGCCCAGGAGCAAGGGATATGAGCAGAAATGGGAAAGAAAGCCAAGGCAGATACAAGACAGAAAGATATAGGAGCAGCTACAGGTCAGGACTGGTGCTTTGGCAGAGCTCCATATGGAGCCAGGCCTGGGACAGTACAGGCAACTGGAAGGACAGCAGAGGGTGGATTCAAGAGCTGCAGAAAGGGAGGGCAGCAATGGAGCAGTGCAAGACATGGGACCAATGTGCACTAGTCCCAGAGCAAGGGACTCAAGATATACATGCACGTTTAAGAAAAGAGCAGCTCTAAATTACTGTAGACAGACCTGCCCCATAATCCCACCTAAGCTCATGGTACCAGCTCTGTCCAGCTCCATCTCTGTTGAGATGGACATTGCCCAAATGTCTTCTTCCCTCTCTCCAAACTCTCTGGCCCATGTTTCCCACACTCACTTTTGTTTTCCTTCATGAAGGTCCACATGTCTCTCTCCTCAGGGCTGTGGGCAAAGGAGCAGTTGCCCACATACTGGCACTTCCTTCCATTTTGTGCATGGATACACAACTGTTAAAAGACAGAGCAAAATTTAGCATCTGCACAAGCACTCCTTGCTAGAGGGGAAAGTGGGTTCAAAAAACCAGCTGGGACATTAAATTGCACACAGGAGAGGTTGCAAACAGGACACTTCATACGTCATTAACTCATGCTTCTTTTCCTCAAGCTCCTGATGACATGAAAGGTAAAGACTTCCCTATAAACATGTAAGCAGCTCAGTTCAGCACCTGGTCTCTCTCTTGTTGCCATTTCCATAGGCAAGTGAGTGCAGGTATGCTTAACACTGGCCCTGGGGGAGACAGCGGGGAGCAACCTGATAGACCCAACAGTGTCTCCTGCTGGTCACGTTGTTGGTCCCCAAAGGTGACTCATTCTCCAGCCATCTCCAAGTGGGTGAAGAGTGGCCTTACAGGTTGCTTAGACCGCACTAGCGTGCACAACTTTACCTCACAGCTACCAACAGCATCATTGCCAGAGAAAACAAGAAGCTTTCCAAGCATCATATTTACTGATCGTCCCTTCTCCCCCAGTCCTGCCACCAGAAGAGGACAGCAGTGTGGAGACCAGCTGGCCCACACAAGCTGCGGGGAAGAGACAATGCTGTTCCTCTCTGGTGGGGCCTGGGTGGGAGCTCAGGTGAAGCACACATTCATATGCCTTTGCTGCACGATCTGTGACTCACCTGCTGGCCTCATCTCCTACTGCAGCAGCTGTAAATAACTCTTGCTCCCCTCCCCACCTTCTAGCAACTGGCCTGCAACTGAAGAGCGCTCAAGGCCTTACATGTGGCCTTGCACCTGCCCATGGACTAAGAGGCAGCAGATCCCATAAGGCAGGAGGGAGAGGAGCTTTCTCCTTTCAGGGAGAAAGGAAAGGAGAGGGAGAGAGAAATTATCAGTCGCCATATTTGGGGCTGGGGTTGGAGGTTGGATATCTGTAGTTTTCCTCACAGCACCTGTCTTTTTAGTGGAGTTCTTAGTTGTGCTTTCAAAACACACTGTGAGCAAGTTTCACAATCTACGTCAGCACAGCCACAGCAAAGGCAGGGATAGGCTTCTCCCAAGCACTCTGTCTCGCCTCTCACCCACACTGAGAAACCCTGACCTAAGGGGAGACTTAAATCTCATTTCTAAACCCTGTGCCAGCCACTTCTTGAGACGGTGACTGCATTAACAGCAATGTCAGAAACTCGCATGCGTGTGTAGAGTGGTTTAAATGGGTGCTGCTCCTTTTTCTGCTCCATCCTTTTGCTGGATGCGTGTGAGATATTGCTGCCCTCAGTCTGTCCTTGCCTCCCACCTCAGCCAACACGTGCCCACTTCCCTGCCAGGTCTACAAGGGACCATCCCTCAAAGCACTACACCATGCTGGGAGGGAAGGGGAAGGGGCATCTGGCCGTGCGGGGCATGGGGCTTACATCATATTGCTGTGGGAAGTTGCGGATGGAAGGCAGTGGTCGGACAGACACCCACTTCTTCTTTGCTTTGGACATCACCAGCAGGACGCGACGTTCCTTCGTCCAACTGAAGAAGAGAGAATAAATCAAGAGAGGCAAAAGGAAGAGCAGAACAAGGTTTTGTTTCCCTCAGAGACCCTTAAATATTGAGAGATGACCAGATTCTCCTGTCCAGCTTGTCCCTGCTACTATCTGGCTACTCCTAGACATGCACATCTGTGACACAGAAGCCACAAGAAGGATGTTTTAGGAGGATTTCTCCCTGTACTTATCACATATTTCCTGGGGTATCTCTTCTCATAAAGCCACAAAAGTCTCCCCCAAGTCTCACATGGCATCACCGTGTATTACTAAACAGCTGCATTCCACCCTTCGACACAGCCAATTCTTGTGCAATCAGATCCATGAAAAACATTTGGGAATATTTTCTGTTTGAAAGGTGCAGTAGAAATACAAGCCATTACAAGCACTGTCTTACAAACAGGTGCCAGGAAGTATTAATTCTCCTGCAGCTCCAGCAAATGATCACCAGGAGATAGCCTGGGCAAAACCCCCAGCTCTATTCAGCAGTTGCACAAAGAGGTGTTATCCTTCCCGTTCCAGGAAGTGATCCTCACCTGAGCACTTCCTCCAACAACTGCTGTTTCTGTCTCTTTTTCATCAAAGGTCTTACATTTGCAATAGGATGCTGGACTGTGCCTTTGTGGCTTGTGTTATGGGCAGTGAAGTCCTATAAACCCTTCCACCCTATCCTGCCAGGCTGCCTGGGTGAGAGGTGCCACAGCTTCCATGACCCAGTGGTGCCTTCCCAGCTAATACTCTTCTTCTATCACACCGAACATCCTCACAGGCCCCAAGGAGCCAGGAGGTGCAAACAGACAAGACATGCATCAGAGAAGAGCAACCAAAGCAATGAAAGAGCCAAGGAAACTAATTTAAAAGGAAGCAGAATACCTGGAATCATTGCTAATAGTGACCTGACAGACATCTGCGAACAGCTAGGAGTATAAACAAGTGCAGAGGAGAACTATCTCAGTGACCTTGCTAAGAAAAAATTATAGCAACTGGGAAAAAAGGGAACTGTGGGAGCTGGACTGCACGCACCAGGAGTAACAGTCTGCACGATGCTGGCAGCAAATACGAACAGTAAAGAAGAGAGCTGGAAACTGGAAAACAGCTATCTGCAATGCTTGCAGTAGTGACAAACACCCTGAGCAGCGAGAGGCTGCTAGGAAACCTTACAGCCTCTTCCAAAGAGGCCAAATGGAGCCCTGGAGAAGGTAAGAGGAGAAATTCCTGCCCTTGAGGAGGTGTGGGGGAAAGAGAAGGTTGCATTGCTCACCAGTGGCGGGCTTTGGCACTACAGTACTTGAGGTCTTTATCTGGCTCCACCAGCTGCCCATTCCTCCAGCACTGGCCACACACAAATTTCATCTGGAGGTCAAAGGTGCTTGACGTGGGAGCCCGGGGAGAAGCCTGGGGAAGAGAACCACAACCTCAGGCAAACAGAGCCAAAATGCACCCCCCAAACTGCCACGGAGACACTGGCGGTTCCCCACACGCCTGCGTGCCAGTGACAAGCCAGATTAAATCAGAGACAGCCCAGCTCTCCTTTGCCGATGTTAGCTGGTGACCCATTGAGATACCAGGCAGGTGCAAAAACACTGCTTGCTTCAGCATGATTTCCTGGGCTTCGACGTCGGGCCAAAAGCACAGCCAGCCTGGCAGCTTCGAGCACTGACCAGGCCTGGCTGCAAAACCCCTGCAGCATATCTCCATGTACAGACAAGTTTTGCGAGACCTGCCCCAGCGCTTAATCCCCGCTTCCCCGCAGGGAGGGCAATCCACGTCCCCCTCGCTATCCATGGAGAGAGCTCAGTCGCACAGCCGAGAGAGCCCCCTTGGGAGGAGGCCAGGCTGTGCCACAGCGCGGGACCCACCACTCCCACTTCTGGACCAAGCAGCTCATGTCACGTCTACCATTTGACACACTGAAGTCAGAGCTGGGTCCTCTTGTTAATACCATTCGAAGTCATTTCTGGGCAGGTTTCCATCCCTCACAGTTCCTTTGCACCAGGCCTCACAGGCAGTTAATCATGATCTCTAGAAAGAGGTACAACTGTCAATGCACATACTTCATATCGTCAGTCACTTAACTTCATCGGTCTTCTGTCTCCTTGAGAAGGCTCTTTTGGGATTATGACTGACAGATTGTGGAGGGGAAAAAAATGGAGCCAGTCCCATATCACCACTGCTTCGCATTTTCTGAGCGAATCTCTAGAAAGCCATTTACATTTTGTACCACCACTGGAAGACATGAGGCTGGTGTCTCCATTTCCAAACCAAAGAGCAAACCTGACTGGACACCAGTGGCCCTGGGCACAGCAGTATGTGAGGGTACAAGCAAGAACCTAAAAGAACACCCTGGTCATTGAGCCAACCGTGAAGCACAAAGGTCATGTACCAGTAAAACAGCTCCCTGACTGCTAACCACATAAGCAGCCCATCCCAGCTGCCATGCCTCGACTTCTAACCCTGAGCAGCTAATAACGAGCAGACAGGCAAACCATGTCCCCGAGGAGGAGGCTTCTGCCAGCAATCGATTAGCAGTAGCATGGACCCTACGTGCATCCCTTGGCAAAGGGAAAACAGCAAGCCCAGGTGGTGCAGAATCAAAGCATCTCCCAGGAAACACCACATAAGCTATCGACTACCATTCTGCATCCTCCAGACCCAGTCTTTCGGAGAAGCAGAGATGACATACAAAGGGTCCTCCATCGCTGTGAAGAGCTGACCAGAGAGCTGAACTTTGCCTGTGGTAACCACAAGGGGCCATCACTGCTCTGGATGTCTCAGCAAAAGGACCCTTCCAGAGAACCACCATCTCTCTTGAAAAGCAGCAGCGATTCTGGCCCACTTGCCTGCAGGACAGCCCTTCTGGTGGCATCCGCCATGTGACGCGTTCATCTGTCAGCTTTCACCTGTGCTGGTGACCACCAAGTACACATCAAAGTGGCCAGCTGCGGGATAAGCAGCATTGAGACCTGGGATATCACAGAAGGCAGTAAGGTGCCTCCCTCTCAGACATGTGGCCTTTGAACAGTATTTTTGATCTCCACTTGTCTCCAAAGAAAATTACACTACAGCTCACCACTGACCCACCAAACCTATAGGCCTAAGGTAACAAAATGGCACTGCTGGCATATTCCCTTTTATCAGCCCAATGCTATCTGCCATATAATCCCCCAGGCGACAGATCTCTCAGCACAGCGAGGAAGCTTGGCTCAAATCTACTGACTCAGCAAAATGAAAAATCAAGTGGCTCCAGAAGGCACAATAGATCAGAGATAAAGAAAATGTGTCTCAGGTAATTCTGGTGATCTGGGCTGCTTTTTCCACAAATTCTTAACCAAAAGAAGCCCTGTGCTTTTCTTGATCAGAGTCGTGCAAACTGCTGGTCAATCCAGTGGGCACGTATGCTCCCGGGGGATTAGAAGCCAAGTGAAAAATCAAGGCTGCTGTTGTTGCTGCTACATGACTGTATTTGTAAAGGCAAGACACATACCTAGCAGGCTGCTGATAATCAACAGTGTGGAAATTAGTATCACATGAGGCTCTAGTAGATGAAGCCAGTCAAAAGTGCCTCGGGCTGCGGCACCACCCCTTTGCTATGAAGCCAGACAATATAGTGGTAGCTATGCACCATGGCAACCAAATAAATAAAAGTCTTTGGCACGACAGCTCTCCACGTCAGGCTTTGCAGAAAGCAACAGCCCCTGCATGGCCACTTGTGTCTCACAACTTCAGGAACCCCTCTCAACAATACTGAAATGCTCTCTGAAGGAGCCACATGCCCCGGGGGACTATACGAAGAGCCCAGGTTACTCAGCCACCTAACCGAGTGAGCCGTACTTAGGTGCAAGTACCCTTTCCTTTCCTCTCCATGCTGAAATTGCTAATTCTGAGGCCAGTTTTTATGGGGGTCCTGCAGCTGGCTAGTGAGGTAAAACAAAATAGCCCTCAAAAAACAGAAAAACAGAGGGCTAAAACCCCTCAATTCCTAGGGATATGATGGCAGTTGAGGACACCCAGCTACCTACAAGCTTAAATTGCTAATTCTGAGGCCAGTTTTTATGGGGGCCCTGCAGCTGGCTAGTGAGGTAAAACAGAATAGCCCTCAAAAAACAGAAAAACCTGTTTCTTGAGGGGCTAAAGCCCCTCAATTCCTAGGGATACGATGGCAGTTGAGGACACCCAGGTACCTACAACAGTCTCCTGCTGACTGCCTCTTCCATCTGCAGCCACTGGGTTTACTCCTACAGCAGCCTCCATGGGGCCAAATTCGTGGGGCCAAGTGCAAGACCCCTGGCAGGCGTTTAGCAAGCGGTGTATCTTCATCTTCCACTTGTTGCTAAGTCTCCTGACCTGCATCATCACAGCTGCTGGGTCCTTGTATGCTGCCTGCCTCTTTTCTCCACAACTGGATAGCCCCAGCAACTGAGTCCAACTGGCAGCTGTGACAAAATTGCAGCAAAATCCCTGGGAGCGACTTTGCTTCCGCTGACCAAAGGGCGCCGGGGTGAGGGTGGATCACACGGGATGGTGGGAAGGAGGGGTCTGCTTTTATAGCACTCCTGGGAAGTTGTCTTTGCCAGGCAGCCAACTTGGAAAGCTGGAAGGACGCTGAGAAAACTCTGAGTCATGTTAGCCTGCTTGGACGGGAGAAAATAATGGCAAAAATAAACACCTCTCAACAGATACGTTAGTCCTGCCCCTGGGGTCTTCGGCAGCAAGCCAGTGTCTCATCCCGGAGCACAGCCCTCTGGCTGAGTACGTGCTGATGCCAAAGCCATGGTTTGCTATTGCAAACACATGCATCTGACCAACTTGACTGTCTCCCTGCACAGTGCCAGTGCCAGGCTGCCAATCCCTACACACAACTGATGGTGCCGCTGGTAGGCACTTTCTGACTGTACCAACAAGGCTGCTGCTTCGTCTCCACACAAAATGATGCCCTGGAAGGGTGGACGGTGCGGTCCCGCTCTGCAACAGGCATTTGTGGGGCACACCCAGACTTTGCCATTGGCCATCAGCCCTAACACTGCCCACAGGGCCCAGAAACTGCAGCGCTCTGCCCATCCCCTGACAGCTGATGTAGCAGGTGCTGGTGTTTCTCTTCCTGATCCTTTGCCCCCTGCAAGCCCCAACAGCCAGAAACGAAACCCTCTCTCAGCATCCAGATCCCACGTGCTTCAGAGGACACGCTCTCACCATGCTCGCTGAACAACTTGTTCTTCCAACAGCAGCACCTCCAGACAAAGGTGAATTTGAAGCTGCAAGGCTTACAGGAAAACAGCTGTCCATCTATCTTTTTTTATTCCCAGATTATGCACAGAGAATGTCAAGACAGAGCTTTCTGGAAAATGCAGGCAGATTCACAGAAGGCAGGACAGAACCAGTCACTAGACTTCACTCTCCATGGGACAGGGATTGCTGATATAAATCCAAGTACTGTCACCAACTGCTGCAAATTCATGCTTAGTTTCCTCCACTGTGAAGATGCAGGCAGCTGCCTCTGTCCCCACACCAGGTAGAAAGAGATCATAGCCAGCTCTGTCTGCAGGGACTATTCAGATCATTCAGGCTCACTTCTCATATAATACAGGCTGTAGAAACCTGTCCTCTCAGCTTCCTGAGAGGCTAGAACATATTCCTTAAGCGAGTCAGACGGCTTTGGGAACTAGAGACCTTAGTTACTCTGGCCTGCTGCTTCTCTTTCCTCTCCCCCAACCATTTCAGACCACAACAGCAGAACAGGCCGCACAGGTATGTTGCTGAGCATCTCCTCAAAGATGACTCCATCTCATGCAGCATAACCAGTACATAGGTGGACGTGAAGCCCACTGCAAGCATCAGTGCAGTCACCTGCATGTTTCCTGTTGGGCTAACCCATGCCCGTCAGACTTGCTTTTCCCCAGCATCAGTGCCCTACAGCCTTCAGAACACTTCTGCTGGCCCGTAACCTAGCCGAAAAAAGCAGCTACACACCACATGAGTGACTCAGATCCCCTTCCTATAAAACACCTCCTCCGCAAGGTGCTCACAGGCTGCACTCAGTGCTGGTCTCTGCAGAGGGACTCCTGGGTGAGAGGTCCCAGACAAAGGTGAAGCACCCTTGCTCTGATAGTAAGGCACAGGCCAAGGGGTGGCAAGCTCAGGCCTCCACAAGGGGAAAGAAAGCTGTCAAGTGGGAACAAAAAGGATTCACACCACTTTCCCCACCATTTTGCAGGGGACAGAATTGCTCCTATGCCTCAGAGCTTGCTATGAGGCATGAAGTTTCTCATCTCATCAGACATATCTTCTGAACGTAATTAAAGAACAAAAAACTCCCTGTTCTAATGGCAAAACTGCTTTAGTTCAACCTCAGGGGTGGGCTGGGAATCGTCCTCACTGGGTGCACTCTGCTCCTACACTACAGAACACCCCCTTGGGGGAAAAAGAGGATAATGCAGCGACACCCGTAGCCAACAGGTTGGAAGAAAGCAAACAAAGAGGTGCCCTTTGCCTTTAACACATCTCTCCAGAGAAAGCTCTTGACAGTGCTGGAGGGTGCAGCCAGAGGCACCTTCTCCCACACTGAGAGACTGGTGGCACAAAGAGAGGCAAAGCTCACAGCCTCCTCCTGGCAAAGCGCCACTAAGATCCTGCCCAGCCTCAACAGCACCTGAGCTGCAAGTTCCACCCACTCCTGCGTTTAGAGCAGTCCTGTGGGTCATGAGTCATTTCTTACAGTCCTTCGAACTGCTGTATCATCCCTTGGCCACTACAGGGCAGCAGGACACCTTTGGTTCCCACTCTGTGTGGTCACGGTCCCCGAAGTCTCCCGATTTCACTAGCAAGGTGTCGCAGGAAGCACCATTCTCTGCACGTTGCCCTCCCTGCTCTGGAGGCTTCACCCCACCACTGAACAGAGCAGATAACAATGCTGCAAAACAAGGCACAAAGCTCATCACTAGCACTGCAGCCAGGAAAGCTCTCAGCTGCCCTCCTCAATGGCCAGCCTGGTCTGCCTGGGACCTGTCAGGCACAGCAGTGGGAGGAAAAGAGAGAAAGTGCTGGAACAGTTGGGAGCAAAACCAGGCTGCAAGCCCTAGATGCACCTTACTTACCATGCTGTTGGCTGGTTTGCTGGCATGTGCCTCCATCTGCTGCCAGTACTTCTTTGACTCCTGCACGATATCTTCGTGGGTCATTCCTGGGAACAAAAGGAGGCAGGACTGAGCTACCCTGCTTTGGCCAAGAGAAAAGAGGGAGGGAGGGGTTGCAGGACTTCCTACTTTGGTGCTTAGGAACCCCTGTGTGGCTGACAGCTCCCAACGGTCCCACTGGTAATGTCAGGACATGGGTTGTGAAGGGACCCATCACAGAACATGTTTAAGCGCAGGCTAAGGAAGCTCTTCTCTCCACACAAGCCAAACAAAAGGAGAAGAGTTCGGTATCCTGGGCTCATTCAGACCCGGCATTCTGCTCAGGCTGTTTGCAAAGGACCCAGATGCTGTCTCCAAGTTGATGATTTTTGACTAGGGGTCAAACCTTGACCAAGACTGCCTCCAACACCATGTCAACAGATCTGACCCAAGGCCCTGAAGACAATGCTTTGTTACTATTGATCTACTGTATATTGGAGTTTTTGTCACTAGCTTGGAAGATCACAGATATCCCACCGAGACATCTAGCATCCTCAAGACCCCAGAAGTCTCACCTAATCCCTGCTGGAATTAATTAGCCTGTTACACACTTCAAGTTGTGGGGGCTGCCCATCAATCAATAGGCGGAAAGGAAAGTCGAAATTCAACACAGACAAACACCAAGTGCAACCAAGGTAACAAGGAAAGACCCAAAGTGCAAAACCAACCAAGGAACAGCTGCTAGTATGTAACCAGCAAGGAAAGTTCTGCAAGGCTTCAGGAATCAGAAATGCAACATCAGACAACAAGAAAAAGGGTTGGTCAGACCTTATCTGAGGAATTAGCTCCTGACCAACTCAAGCGGCAAGGGAACAGCCCAGGCCAGCACCAACCAGCTAGATGGGCGCTACAATTCTCAGAGAACTAATCAGCAAGAGAAAAGTATGTAAGAGTAGGAACTGTCTTGTCAATGTGAGGACTCTGTTACAAAAAAGCCATGTTATTTAAGTGCTATAAAGACCTGAAAGAGCTGCCAAAAGAAACTGAAGCAAGTGTCTTACAACGGCCAGCTGACTGTAACAAGTGGGGTGCTGAGGATGGCCTCGATGCAGCACCCCCAGCACAGAGAGGCTGCAAAATTGCTTGCTTTGATTTTGCCTGCAGCTTTTATTATTGAAGTGAGGGGTTCCCCAGGCATGCCACATGGACACCATCTTTGATCTGGGAGCCGGCATGTTCCAGAACTTCAGGGCCAGCAAACACAAGTTTTCATCTCAGCTTAGGCTGTAACTTGGGTAAGACACAGCATTCCTGACCTCAGTTTCCCCATCTGTGATTTCAGCTGTCCAGGTCCCTGCCAGGCAACAATACTGCTGTTTGGACAGGGTTTGGACAGGATGAAAAGCATTCAGGGGACTTTACTATTCTTCAAGAACATTTGCTCAGGCCTCCAAAATGGCAGCTGCTGCATAGCTGGTACTACTCCCAGATCAGAGCTGTTTGTGGATTTTCTCCTTCTTAACCATTAATCCCAGAAGAAACTGTGTAGAGTTAGAAAAACTGCAACTCCCTCTTCCATGTCCAAGTAATCCAGGGCTGGATACAACGCTGATCTGTACTTTGGGGACAAAAACTACAAAGCTGAGAAAACCACAGCAAAAAGTTAATGTGCTGCACCGGACCTGGCAGAGAAAGTGCTGAAGCAGCTCCCATCTTCTCCATTCTGCACACCTGCACTGTGATCCCCGGGGTGCAGAACCAATGGGAGAAGCATATACAGCTCTTGTCAGAAGACTGAATTTCAAATGAGGTTCTTAACAAGTGACTGTTTCTTCCTGTCCCAGAAATCTGAACTAACTCAACAAGACAGTCTAGAAATGTGGTGTTTGGGAAAAAAAACCTTCCCAAATATGAAAGGATGTTTTCCAATACACCAGCTCTCCAAAGCATGAACTGTCCCAAAGAGATGATCTGGGAACCAAAAGGCCCATGTGTTGATTACTTATAACATTTCAGCATCTTTTGCAACATCATTAGGAGGACAAAGACTGTGATTTCCACTGACGGAAGAAGATAGCACGATATGCCTGTGAAAAGCCACACTGAACAAGAAAACAGTCCTGCCTGTCCACATTTTCAGATCTTGGGAACCTTTACTCCACTAATACAATCCTTTATCCCCATGAATAAAGCCATAAGCTCTGTAAAAGCTCAAATGGCTGTGAAATGCAACAGCCCACTGGTTTCAAATGCAAGCTGCTATGAAGCCCCCTTGTTCTTGCCGAGCAAATGGTGCCCAAATCAAACTCTCTGCTCCAAAGCTAAAGCATTCCCAGAGAATGACGACAAATACCTTTCATCTCTGTTTCCATAATGAGGGCTACACTTAAGAGAGGTAATAAACTACTACTCCAGGAAGGCAAATTCACAAGGAAACCAGGCTCGTATATACAGCCCTGCAGAAAAAAAACCAAAAAGATGATGGTTCTCTCATTGTTGGAAAAGATGGGAATAAGCACAAGGCTTACTGACCACCTCTGCAGCTAAACTCATGGCTTGTCTCATCTCCTCAGCTTCCCCTTTGGAAATCACTTCTTAAGTAAAGAAGGCAAGAAGGAAAAATCAATCTAACCATTTCTTCTACAGGCTGAAGAGGAAGGAATAGGGAGGGAGGGAAGGAGGGAGCAAAGAAACTTTTTCGGGAGCAAAGAAACTTTTTCTGAAAAAAAAAAAAAAAAAAAAAAAAAAAAAAAAAAAAAAAAAAAAAAAAAAAAAAAAAAAAAAAAAAAAAAACCACGGACAAAAATAAACCAACCATGGGGTGAAGAAAAGAGCAAGGTCTTTGAATATTAGAGTGCCCAGAGTACTACCGGCAGTATCATAAGCATGTAGGGCAGCAATGGTGGCCTATGGCTCACAGGCAACATGCTGTCTTAGAAACTCTGGTGTTGTAATTTTTTAATTTCCTGTGGCCACAAGTAAGTGAGGCCAAACAGGAAGAATAAAAGATGTCATTTGCCACAGTGTGCTACTTGTTCATCACGGTCCCTCATGAGTCAAGCCAAGGCCAAGGACTGCAGTGAACAACAGTGACAGGCGTTTGAACAATAAATTAAAGAAGTTGCCCCCAATTTCTCATCAAAGAATGGTGAGAAACATCCGTAACGTGTTTCCTCTCTGAAGTACTCCCATTACCGGGCCGGGTCCTGCACTAAACAAGACCATGTGGTGAAAAAAGATGTAGGTAGCATTGTGGGTGGACCAGCATCTACTCGGTTAAGAAGAGAGCATCAAGAGAAACCCTCCAACATGTCGGAGAGAGAGAGAGAGGACTGAGAGTGCCAGATGTGGTAGTGTCATTATATGAGTGACCTGAATATAATTTCTGCAATAGCCTCTTCAGAGGTATGTCATCAAAGCCTTTTTGGGAAACACCAAGTATCTTGTCATTTCCCACTGTGGGGAATTTGTTTAGAGAAAGTGGAGATGCACAGCCTTACTTTATATAACTGCTTTGTCACCTGCCCATGCTGCCATTCTCACTGTACCAGATGCTCACTCAGGAGCCCAATTGCTATTTAGGGTCTTGCACAGGATTTAAGCACCAAAACGTCTCTGGGGATTCAGCCCTACCTAATAATCATTTCAACTTCTGCAGCTGGTCCCAAGGGAAAGGCTTCCTGGTCTGCAAATTACAGTAGCACATGTAAAGGGACAAGGGCCAAATCATCTCACAGAACACCTTGGCCCTCTTTTCTGTGTCCCTGAGGAGACAGAGTAAGTATATGCACAAGTCAGTGACAACTTCTCAGTACTCCCAAATCACACTCTTCCCCTCTCAACTGGCCCCAGGTACACACTGGAGGAAACTCAGGCGTACACATCACCAGCCCTGCACCAAGCCACACTCACCTGAATATTGCTGCAGCAACCAGACCTTGAGCTCGATGAAACTATGAGCAAAGTGGCAGCTGTCCTCGCGCAGGCAGCCGTAACGCACCTCATGTCGGCACACGTCAAACTGGAAGTGCTCCTGGAACTGGCGGATCTTGGAATATTTCAGGGAGGTGGAACGCACAATGTGGACCAGACACCTGCAGCCAGTCCGGAGAAATATGAAGCACCAGAGGATCAAATCTTCACCCCCCTCCTCCTTACATGTGACTTTCAGACATTTGACTGGGCAGGCAAAGGACACAGAAAATCAACTCTGGGAGAGGCAGACTCCCACTAGGAAAACCAAACCCCTGTCCTCCCACCCTATCAACCCTAGGTAGGTATTTTCAATCTCCTCAGCCCATGATGCTCTGCTTAAATTCAGAGATCAGAGACATTTCAAAATATGTGGCAAAAATACCAACTCCTCTGGCTCAGCAAGTCCCTAAGTCTCAGGTTGCCAGGAACCAGAAGGCATATTACTGTGTACTTGACATGTTTCGTATACTTGTTTTCCTAAACGTTCATTACCAGCCAGTCAGAGGCAGGATCCTGAGCTGGAGGATCTTTGGTTTGACCTTTATGTAAAGGCCAAACTGAAAGGCAAATTAAGTCAATGGAAAACTTAGGCTGATTCCAAAGGGCTTTGCTGATGCCTGAAATCCCCTCAGCACCAGGAGCAAACACTCAGGGTGAAGCACACAGTGATATTTATCATGCTTTGATCTGCCCTATGATTGGAACCTACGGGGAGGAAAGAAAGAAAGAGACCAGGGCCCTGGAGTTAAACTGGCTGGACTTGTGAGAGATTGCTCCCACCAGCACAAAAAATGTTCACTCACTTGTTGTCATGGAAACTGTGTTTGGCAGAAAGGTTGGAGCAGACAGATGGCGTGTCCTTGGTCCCTTTGCTGATAATCCGAGGTTTGCTGTCAAAGCAAATCTGAGAAGAGAAGAATTAGCATACTGGGAAAATCTTAGAGAGCAGTGAATCAGAGCCATTTCACTTGGAAGGGGAAGAAGAACCAGAGCCAGCCTATTCTAATGTTCAAAGTTAGAAGAAGCCTGATGAAAACTTTGTGGTAGGGCTTTAAAATAAAGCAAGCGAACTTTTGGAAAGGCTTCCGGACAACATTTTTTGGCTTATTCTTAACAGTATTTTCCATTGTGGTTGGAAACATTTTGGTCAGAGCCACATATTCTTTCCCAGTTAGCCAACAGAGCAAGAACAAGGGGGAAACGATGGGGAGAAATAAAAGAACAGCCAGTTCACAGCAAAGAACATGTCCCTTTACCTATACCACTGCCAGTGTGGGGAACTCTCTGCTGCAGAGTATCAAGATGGTACGAGCCAATCCTTAACTAACCAACTCAGTGGCTCAGCACAGACATCAAGTGGGAATTTGTTGCATTACGGGGTTCTGATTTCTAAAGTAGCTGGGGCTAAATCACAATTCAAAGCAACATCTCAAGACAGAGGAAGAGACAGGTGATCCCATGAGGTTGTGTGCACCTGGTTCAGCTGCAGGGCTAAGGAGGAAAACTACCTCTCCTTTCTCCTACACAGCTGCATCCACTGCTCACTGCCCTTCTGGGAGCAGGGCACTGGCTGGGACATACAGAATCATAGAATCATTTAGGTTGGAAAAGACTTTTAAGATCATCGAGTCAAACCGTTAACCTAGCACTGCCAAGTCCACCACTAAACCATGTCCCTAAGCACCACATCTACACGTCTTTTAAATA